CTCGTGCGGGAAGGCAATTTGCCGCCCTTGCCACACAATATATTATTGTCACGGCTGCACCGAAAATCTGGTTTTCGACCGCGGTTGAAGCGTTAGAAAGCAACCTCTTTTCGTCCAGCGTAAAGTGGAAATCCCCAAAAGTGCTGGGCGCGAATATCGCGAGTATTCCCTGCACAACCAGACACTGAAATCTATACCACGGTCCTTATAAAGAATAAACTTTTGGTTACATCTTATATACCAGGTACATATTATAACCTCCTTGCATATGACGCGTAAACAATTTTATTTCATGAAATTGTTTTCGTAGAATTATCTGATTGTTGCATATTATATCCCTGCATGGTGTATTACGTTTGTCGTAATCATAGGCGTGCGCAGGGGGGGTGCCGGGTATGCCATGGCATCCCCTGCAGAGTTATCTTAACCATAAAGTGTCTACTGTCTAGAGTTGCAAGTGTTTTGATTATAAATTAGAATCATGAACTAAGATAGTTCATAGGATCTTAGTTCAAGAATTTAAATATTTTGATTGATTTTTTATAATATTTTCTAATTTCTTATATTAATATATTGGCAGTTGAGACGAAATCAAATATTAGGTAATTATATTTTCATAATCACCACACAGGTACCTATAAATAATAAAATAGATTTCTAACTCATGATAATATAGTTGAATTCAAAATCCACCATTTTCGTGAGAATTTCGGGTTTTGTCACCAGAACACTGTCCAGGCCCCTGCGGTATTCCATATTTTCATTCTACCTACAACTATCAAAGATAAAAGAATTTCGATTAATTAGATTATCATTTTTTGTCATTATTATATTATTATAATATGATCAAATAATGGCTGTAGGTTTCTATACTGGTACTTCATTGGAATGAAATCACAGTACAAACTTTTTAAATTAAAATATCTAAAACCAATAATTAATATAAGCTAAGTAAAACGCATGTTAATTTCCTTTTGCTATATATGGCAAGTTATTAATTGTACCTATTAAGAGCTTTTGGGGAGTTATTTTTTGTTTTGAGCTAGGTATGTTTAAAAATAGTGGCATACCCAGCAAAAAAAGTCTGCAAACGCCCATGGTCGTAATTCAATTTTTTTTTTTTGGTATGGACTAGACCAGGGGTCTCCAAACTTTTTTATTCAAGGGCCACAAAAAAAATCAAATGCTCTTAGCGGGCCAAAAGTTTATTAACACATATAATTTTTAATTTTATGATAATATAGGTACCTACCTATATAAATAATATGTTTACTTTACAATATACTTAAATAAAAATAAATAGGTATAAATATTAAATATAATATAATATAAATACATTTTTGAAATAATTTTTTTATCTATATTTACCTATGCGGGCCACGGGCCGGTTAAAACTTGTTCGCGGGCCGTATCCGGCCCGCGGGCCGTAGTTTGGAGACCCCTGGACTAGACTAAGCAATAGAAAACGGGAATAACTTGAGGATTTGAAACAGCCTAATTAGGTCTGCATATTATGCATTTATAATTATTATAATTTATAAATTCCAACAATCTGCTGGTGACTTTAACAACAGTTTTAATGATACTAAATCGGAGACATTTAAAACTTTCCTTATGGACACATTCAATTTACATTTGATAAACGATCGAGCAGAATCTACAACGAGAGATGACACCACTATTGATGAAGTGTTTTCAAGGGATTTGGAAAAAATTACATCACAAACATACATAATATTATCATATTTCAATTATCACAGGCCTGTAATTTCGATTATTGAATAATATGATTAATATAATAGTAATAATAATAATTTTCATTTCTATTCATTTTTCTCGTTTACTTTTTTGTTTTAATGGTCCCACTAAAATGTATTTGTAATCTATAATATTTTGTTGGAAAACAACTCACACACTATTTTTTATTTGATGTCATTAATATGTATTTAGTAGAGCATAAGAAGAGTCAACACAACCACTTATAAGGGGTTTTAAATAGGCAATTCCAAGACTGATTAATTTGAAAAATGAAAATAATACAACATTTTAGGTAATATTATATCATATTTTTATTTATCATTTTTATAAAGATGAAAAACGTATTTATTTTTTCTAAACCTTTTAACTTCCTATGTATAAAATGCGTTTTTGACAAAACAAGTTACAGCGTTTTCATACAAAAAAAATACATCATGTTTACAAGCATTGCCACACTGGACATACGTGTAGGTATAAAAAAAAATATAACAAAGGTATGGTTAATTTGTTTCCGATATACAAAATGATATATCTTTGAATTACAACCGAATAAAACAAAAACATTTTTTGATAAAAATATCCAATTGGCTATTATAATAGTGGATTTACAAGTGTGAAGTGGCTTCTATACACTATGTCATTACTTCTATTGGGTTCTGGGGCGCTTATGAAACAATTATTAACAAAAACAGTTCTGTACAAAATTGTCCACCAAATAATTATAACAAAACTATTGAACTTTCATTATAAAATAGCCAATAGGAAAGAATGTTGTTCGCCGTTGTCGGTGATGTTTTTTTTTTCAAAATCTTAACAACATGGTTTAATTAAATTTAACAAAATATATGAAAAAAAAAACAGACGTTCAACAATTTTGAAATGTTTAAATTCTACTTACGCTTGTCGTTAACAATTATTAGAAAAAGCACTAAACAATGGATTAAACTATTGAGATCTTTTCTATTTGCGGTAAAGAATTTGTCATACAATTACAAATATGTGGATATGGGCAATTATTTGCCTGTATGACTTCTGGGTAAATACACATTAGATTTTAAGACTGGAATTACATTTGTAAACGAGGCTATGTTATTGTGTATAATAATTTATCATATTATTTAATAATGTGATACTTGCATTGTTAAAAAAATTATATATTTTAGATATAATTATCGTATTAAACCTATTAGTATTAATAATTTCCTTGCATAAAAATATTTCATGACAATAGGACCATAAAATTCAATCTATAGATAATAACTTTAATTACAATCTAACCATTCCAAACAGTCTAAATTGTTCTCTGCTAAACATTCACCAATAAATTATTTTTTTAAACAAAATATGTTCATACATCATAGCTTATCTTGGTTTCAACCACAAATTAAATCATACTATACTTTCAAATTGTTACCAAGATTATTTTTTTAAATAGTTTTAAAAAGTACAAATTTTACAACTTGAGTAAATATAACGAGGTTTTTTTTTAATGTTCAAGTAAAATGTGACTATCAAAAATGTTTAAGCGATAACCATTTGGATTTTGTGTATGCATATAAAAGTATAAAAAGATATTTAATGAATTATGTATAACTGATTAGACTATTTATATTTAAACAGTTTGGACAATTTTAAAGATTATATGTCACGTTTTATGTGAAATCGGGTACAGAATTGAAAAAATAACCATTGCTATGACGTATTTAAAGTATTTAGTTTTATCATTTTATCAGTAGTTAACTTATTTACACTTTTAAAATAGAGGCATACAAATCATAATATTGATCGGCTTGATCAATATTAAATTTAGAATTTATACAAACACACAGAGAAAAATGGAGTTTGACTCATGTTCAAATAAATCTAAATCTATGGCGTTGGTACACAATAACAGTAGACAGTGTCATGACAAAATACAATTTCCTAAGAAACGAGAAGATATGAACTTCAGCATCATCGGTGGTGATAAAATAATTACTTAAACACTCGATATACAATAAAAAAAAGTCACAAATTACTTTATTTGTTATAACTTATAATTAATATAGTTATATATAATATTATTATATATATAAAAAATAAAAACATAATCATATTGTTCGGAAATGAATATACAATAAAAAGATAAATGTTGGTGAAGACTTGGGTAGCAAAAATAATAATAATAATAATAATCACTGTACCATGTAACATAACATCGTGATATGAAGAAAAAAATGTAAACATATTACAAAACATGGTTATGTATTTATTATATAGAAATATAAATTAAGCACCAATTACGATACTATTGCAACAAAGACAATATCAGAACTGCAACATTATGTTTGTAATACCATTACGAATAAACATAATATAATATAAATGTATATAAACAATTATGATTATTAATATTAACACAAAAAAAAATAAAATAAAATACAGTCTTTTAGTAACATATTATTCGTAGAAAGAAAAATTAATAAATTAACGCAAAACACAGGTGTGAGGGAAGACGCTGTTGTTCTCCTTCTTTGGACGACCGTGGCTACACAAACAAAAATAAAACAACTAGCCCAGGGTCTTACTATGGGTTTTAGCCACAGCGTATTAACAAAAGGTTGTATAATATGACCAGTGAGCCGGTGGCAGGCATCATTGTTACTAATAAATAATAATATTATTTTCCACCAAAAATTTAAAACTTAAATAGGTACCATTTAGAATTGTATTATTATAGACCATAGACATATTATAATTAATTAAATAATAAAGTTTAAATGTTTAAACATGATAATAATATGACATCTTTAATTTAAAACAGTGAGTTTAATTAATAATTGAGGCATCGGAAATGCATACAATTGCGATTATGTGTTTTTGATGCAACCTGCTTGGTTGATTGTGGCTACCGCACTGTCACAACGCACAGTAAAACCCTGGGGCCTTGGCCGTCGAGGGGATTTTCCGATAAGGTTTAATTTTCCCAATATTGACTACAACGGTATTACTACTATATATTACTATAAACCGATCGAATAAAAAAACGATCACTAACAATATTACACAATTCGGTTGTACAAAATAAAATAATTAATAAAATAAATAGTATGAGTAGGTATAGTACATGAAGCGACAAAACAGCTCTATAGACGGCAACGACTAACAATATCGTGTCGAGCCGTATACACTAGACACGACAGAAAACGGAAAAGAGAGTGTGAAAAACGAACGGAATGAGTACGGGGTGATGGTGAACATCGTTACGAGACGACGGTTGTGAGTTGAGTCTTCTCGGACCTCGGGGGCGGCGGCGGAGGTGGTCGCTTGTTGATCTTGTTGGTGGACCGGAGATGTTGGGCCGTAAGCTGTTGTGGTGGCGGCGGTGGTGGTGGCGACGAACAAGTTGCCGGACCTGGGTGCTGCTTGGGGTACACATTCTCGTACAGGTTGTTGGGCCCGTAATGTTCGGCTACCCAGTTGCTGACGTTGGCCTCACGGCTGTACGCGTTGTTGGTGCCAGCTGCGCCACTATCGGTAAACTGCACTTGGAGCCCGTGCGCCGGATCCCGGAACCCGAGCACTTCATGCGGGGTGGCCATCGTGTCGAGCTTGCACTTTTGCGCCACCTGCCACTTCTTGCAGACGACCCGGTGCAGGTCGGCCAGGAATGCTGTGCTGGGAGGCGACAGAAGCTTGGGCGGTGGGGGAGGTACCGCGTTTATCAGCTCGTCGTCGTCGTCATGGTCGACATCGCCGTCGTGGTCGACCAACAGTTCGGGGGGCGGGGGCGGCAAAGACTCCAGACTGGGCGTCCGGCGGTGCTGCATGTGATGGTGGTACTGTTGTTGGTGGTGTTGCTGCTGCTGGTACTGTTGGTACTGCAGTTGCTGGTGGTGCTGGTACGGCTGCTGGTGGTGGTCGGCGAACTTGACCGATTTGACGGGTTTTTGTTGGTTGGCGGCCGCAGTGGCTGCGGCGAACGCTGTCGCCGCCGACGTCTCCGTTACTGAACAGGTGAGCTGACGCGTGGTGGCCGTCAGCGGCAGTTTGGGCGGCTTCCGCTTGATGGTGCCGCACGGCGGGTAGTCTGACTCAAACGCCACGTCGCAACCGGACGACGAACCTCCCGAGTCCGACGACAGTCCGCTCTCGGTGTCGTCCAACATCATGGCGGCGGCGGTGGCGGCCACGTCGTCATCGAGTCCCACGGACCCGCGTCCCGCCGTCCCGCGTACCATCATCGAACCGTCGCGGCGCAGGGACGTCCCGGACGACGATGGCGGCGCGGGCGACATGGACGACGTTTGCGACGGGTCGCCGCCGTCCCCGCCGACCAGCGCCGACTCGTAGTTGTCGAGCAGCTGCTGTCCGTACTTGACGATCCGAATGGCCGACATCCACTTTTGCAGCGTCCGCTCGTCCTCGGCGCACACGTACTTTATGTACTTGGTGGACTTGGGCTGCTGCAGACACGGGTGTTTGATCGCGAAACAGTGTTCGGTCGGTGCCTTGTACTTCTTCCGCCAGCCCACGCCGTAGTATACCTGGTTCACGTCGAACGTGGCCAGGCAAACCAGGTCCTTCGGCGACCGCGAAGTCTTGTCCTTGTAATAGTACAGCCCCGAAGCCCTAAGCACGCTGTGGTACTTCTTCCAGCCCTTCCTAGAGTCCGTTTTGATGTACAGCGGGCCCTCGACGCTCGGAAGTCCGCCGTTGCAAAAGTATTCCTGCAATGCAAAAAAAAAAACGAGGTCAGTAAAAATTAAGGAACCATGCAGTGGTATGTCTGGTTACTGATATAATATGTGTATTGTTTATATAGGTTGTTAAGGGTTGTGATCCAACATGCAACTTACGGTCAAAAATACAGTAGGCGTAAAAATAATTGAAAAAACTCGAAAACAACGTTTTTTTTAAACGAGTCACGGCTCATAATATCAGATCACAACGTAAATTAGGCGATGGGGTTAATCGATAGGTCTTATCGTTGAATTATTATACAAATCGTTTTAAAAGTGATATAAAGAACATTTTTTTTTTAAATTTTTACCACCCGCGGGTAATTTCAAAATAATTTGAATGATTATTTTTTTTTTCCATTCGCAGGGCAGTTTTAACCGAACAAAAATAACCGTTGTTTCTAAAATATTATGGCTACGTTTTAAATGTGCATTACTTACTTGTGCAAAGTTACTAGTCGCGTGGTTTAGCGACTGATTGTTGGTGTTGAACAACGACGGATTTTCGAATATCAACGTCCTCTCGGGCCGTTCGACGAACAATAAACGGTTCTTGGAATCTCTGGTCCACAGCATCAGATTGTCTACCAGCAACTCGTGTTCTTCGTAAACGCGTTCTAAAAAAATAATAAAAACGCGTGTAAAAAAAAATTCATAAAAAACCTACAAATCTAACACGTGTTGCAAAAGTATGGAATAGGTTTTTTTTTTTTTGTCAACGTACCCATGTGAAGGTCGGGCAGATGTTCGACGAGCCCCCAGCGCGGTCCGAGATTAATGTGATGTTTGTCGGCCAACAATCGCATCACATAACTGCATCGCATACCCTCGTCGACCAGCAACGATTTCGCTCCACCGTCGTCGTTGAACACTTTGATGAACAGTTTCTTCACACTGGCCTCCTTCATTTTCTGTAGGGCCAGACGGATTTTCTCCGCTTTAGACGACTCCTGCGAGCGCAACAGACACGAATAACAATCATTATTCAAAAAAAAAAAATTAAAAACGATTCCGTCGACGCTGCACAATGCGCAGCAGCAACGCACATTAATAATATATATATATTATAAATAATAATAACGGATAATATCGCGACTATAATACTACCGTATAATATTATTATAGTCGAATGACAGTCGTGGTTTACGATAGTATTATGCGATATGCTTGATACGCATTAATATCGTAACGACAGTAAAAAATAATATATAAAAACGATTAACTGCGTACAACAACAACAATAATAATAGTACATACTTTGTTTCCTGCAGAGTGATTGGTAGTGCCGCTCGAAGCTGAACTCTCGCTACTCGACAACAACGATACGCAATCGGAAAACGCGGAATCATTGTCCGGACTGTCTGTCCTCACTAGAAAAATACAATTTGTTAAATTTACAACGCTATTTCGATTCATATGTACATGTGTGTATTGCGTATATTATATAGACCCACGGTGGCGATCGGAAGAAAAATGTCAAAAAGAAAGAAAAAAAAAAAAGGATAAGTGAAATCGGACTTACATCGCGATTTATCTACGAATAGGGTATTCCCCCGATTTCAGCTACACAAAATTTATCAGATTTGGGTAAAGTCCAGAGAATTGGGCTTACCACTCAGTATTAAACGTATACACAGACCGAATGTCACGAACCGCCTTTTTGATTCATTACCATTTGAACCGTGGCCAAAAACGACACCACGATTGTTGGACAGGAGGAATGATGGCGTAACGACCACGGCATATTGGCCAGGTGCCTCTTTTCTGATATTGACCCTTCCCAGACGACGTATTATTATTGGAACGATAACGGTATTGTGAGTTATAATAATAATAATAATAATAATGGGCTATATGGGCACTACCTAACACTATATATTTATATTATATAGGTATTATTTGTACATATATATATATTATATATACCGAGAGACGGGGAAAAAAAATTTGTAAAGAAAAGATTTTTGTGATTCGCCGCACAATCGGCTAACCCGAAATGTCTGCCCCGGCGTATTATAATATAAAAACGATAAGGGGTTGTTGTCGTTGTTGTCTGCGTATGAATAAATAATCGCGGTGAAACACAATATAACAGAATATAATATTCAAAACATATATATATATATATAGATCATGACGTTTTTTACCTGTTCCCGTTTGATTTGAATTTGACAGCATCCTGTTTATTGAATTATAATCTGTGACAAACAATTGAATGTTATTATTATTGTCATCTATATTTTCGTATTTAATATATATTTTATCATATAATGCTCAAATTGGGGGGGTGCACAGGGGGACGGAGCTCCTCCACTATTTTTTTTTTTGCGTACCCCTTCTATGTTTTTTTATGGTCTGTGTTGAAGAATTGCGCCCCTTGGAACGCAGTTTTTAAATCGTTAGATTGAGCTCCTCCACTTAGTTTTTCCCAATTCGAGCACTGAATTGACTATATTATTTTAACGCGAAACGGACGACCTTATGGCGATTTACGTACCAATTTTTTCCGAATCCAATAGACTGTTCGTGCTCTGGTATTGTGATTCTAACGCACACAACTCTCCCAACACGGCGTCTAAGTCTACGTCTTGAGTATCTGAAAAGCCAAAAATGAACATTATTATTAAACGCCGTTTTGTATGTCGTAGTATTATAATATAAAGTGAGTGGTGACGACGATCCGTGTCCGGTCGCGGCTTCGGGATATACAAATATATTACAATTTCGCAGACTCACCTTCTAAATTCGCCATCGAGAATCTATAAGAATCCATCCGCTGACCAGCAATGTCCGTGGCGTTGGGAGCTTTCAAGATGACATTTTCGATCGGCTTGGACGGGCTCTTGTCCAAACTCTACAAAACAGACGAAAATGTTGATAATATCATTCCGAAAATACAAACGTTGGTACGTAATCGAACAAATAATATTCTAAATACAGGGAAGTACGCGTGTGCGGTACGTCTTCGATTTGTGCGCACACACGAGGAGCCACCTGCACGTAAGTCGAGGGGTGGCTACGACCCTCGGACGCTTTGGGTTATACATAATATATATATTATTATTTCTATTATACAATATCTAGTTCGTGTTCGTGCGACGTCAAAACTTCTTTACAAACGCGACTGCTCCCCCTCGCGGCCGAAGAACGACCGACGAATCCGCCCCCACAGGTCCGTATTATATTTTACGAAAATCATCCTGCCTACGACGACCGCACACACACGGTCGAAATACCTACGACGTTTTTCAATTATTTTTCCGATACGACCGACGGTTGTTATTATCCGTTCGTTGCGTACCTTCGGTGCTCGAGCACGCAAATCTCGTCGACGTTTGGTTTTAAAATAAAATATTACAATCTGTCTCCACTGTGCGTATAGTATAACACGATAATAATACACTATGTTATAATCATGCGCGTACACACGTTTCAATATTATTACTATTTCCACGAGCACAAGTTATGTACATTTTTAACGACCGACGCGCGACGGTTGCGCGTTTATGCGTTTATTTTGTGAGCGGCGGCGCTAGTTTAAAAATTATAATAATTCTCAAACACATAATATATTATGACACGCAATTAAAAAAACTGCACAGTGCACACGTCATATAAAATATATTGGTCACGCGATTTTTTGATTAATTTATATCGTCGTTGGGCCTGCCGGTTGATAATGACGACGACGACGACGACGACGACGACGAGCGAGGCGCTAAACGGACGAGCTGCGTTATTGTATAAGCGTCGGACGACGGTTCCAAAACATCTCGTTAGTTATAAAAGTTATAAAAAAAAAAAGTTTAATAGAACTCAACCCCTCATACACGTAATGTGCGTATAATACGCGGTACGCAGCATAGACGCGGTCGTTTTAATACAAAAATATAAAAAAAAAACATTATGTTTTCAATTAAAAACGAAACAATGATCCCCGCACATAACGCATTGTGGTTAGGTCAACTGTCTCGATTATTATTATGCGCGTTTTTCAAGACTCCAAAGCCTGCCTGTGTATGATATTTTAAACGCGCCATTGTTCTTGGCGTTCCTCTGTAATAATAATAATATATTCCGATGATTATTTATTATGCATCGCGTATACGCGATGCATAATAATCAGTAAAAAGTCGGCCTCGTCCATTAAAAAACCACCCAATATTCGACTAATTAGTTCGTGCGCGTATTATATAATTATATATTACATGAATATTGCCATCGAAAGACCGGCAGCCGATTCACATTAATAATAATATAAAATGTCATAATGACTATGCACTGGACGATTGCGTCGTTTTTTGATCGATTGCGTCCAATCTGAGCACCGAAAACAAAAACAGTTCTCCCGACGCCGATCGGCGGCAGTGGTGGCGGCGGCGGCGCGCAGGAATTTTTTCTACAGAAATTTGACAACATCTACCGACGGCCACCGTTAATATTGTCAGCCGCCATAGTTGTACACTTATTTTTAACTTAAATCTAATTATAAAAATATTTTTTTATTTTTTTTTTCATGTCAATGTAATTCACGTAATTCAATTTTAATTAATTTTTGTAATTAGTCTTGGATTTTTCTGTGAGCTGTGTATACGGAATTTACGTTATTTACTGCAGTGGTTGTTATACAATAGGTGTATTTGTATTTATAATTGGATGCTCGTCTGCCATCGGCATACATAATATGTTTTCAGACTTCAGCATTAAATTCCGACCACCCTCGATATCACTTCTGTGGAAATCACTCTCTTTCGTGACCACTCTCACTTTCAACTCTCGCATAAAGCCTATATACACAGAATGCTTCGATAGGCTCTTATTCTATTAATTTAAATTTACATCCAGCTCAACTTCTAGCAAGGTTGTTAAATTAGTTTAATAATACATGTCATTGGTACGTATGCTAATATATTTTATTGAACATTCTTTTAATCTTATCAATGTTTTGATAATTATCTGATATCTCTTTACTTATATATTATCATGTACAAATTCCAAGTCCAGTCGTATAGGTAAATAATAACAATATACACCAGGCGCGAGATTCATAAGAGGAAATAAGTACCTATATATATTGTATAGGTAAGAGTTAGGTTATCGTCTCTCGACATGTTGAATATATCATTTAATTTTCAGTCGAATACTACATAATATTATATTAATCTACAATACGCATTCAGTAATAAGGAACCACCATAGCTACTATACAATAATATAATTTTGTACGTGCTATAGTGTCGTATAAATTGTACGACAACCAACAACAGCAAAAATAATAATAAAAATGTAATTGTCACAACTATAATTATTTTAAAACGCCGGAGAGCCACGCAATAGGCGTGGTGCCCACCATCCATATATGTGTAGGTACTACACTGTATTATTATCATCATAGTTTGCTATTGAAACGTACTTGAAACGAAAAGGAAAAGATCGAAGTACGCTACGTGCTCATAATTTTCTCGTAGGTACCTATGAGCCGTGGCCGCTAAACAGCAACAGGTTATCAAAACAACAATAATCATATGATGACAGTAATAACAACACTACAAGACGATATTATTATGATGTAATATTAGGCGCGGAGAGGCGATTTTTCCGACAAGACTCGAAGAGGAAAACTGTGTAGACAATTCAGCGATTTATTGACCCTAAGTGGCGTTCAAGGTACTTACGGTGGGCTCGATCGCGGTCAGTGGCGTTTCCGAGCGATCAGTCGCCTTGTGCACGTCGACGATGACCCTGCTAGTGTGAAGGATCGTCTGTGGCATAATTTCGCTGTTATCGATGACGCGAAGTTCGTCTGGCAACGACGGCGGCAGCGTGAAAACGAGTTGGTTTGAGGGTGAAGGGAAAACGCGTTCGTTTGGTCGCGGCAAGGGCGGCGGGATCACTCGTTGGTTTGCGGGCGGCAAGGGCGGCGTGAAGACGTGTTCGCCGGGCAACGGCATGCGCTGCCTCTGGGCGATCATCTGAGCGACGTTCCTCCGGGTGGTGGAAAAACTGGAGGCTCTGCGCACGGCCACAGAATAGCACGGGGGCGGCGGCCGGAAGCTGCTGCGACGTCTCATCGGCGACGGCGGTGACGGCGGCGACCGGTGCACGCCGGAAAAGCTGACGGTCCGCTTGACGGGCGCGCGCCGGCGCACCGAAGTCGCCGCGCTCGACAGCCGCGTCTTGAGTATCGGCTTGTAGCCGAACGTCAGGTTGCCGTAGATGTGATAGTCGCCGTCGTCGGAGTACGACGACGACGGACACTGGCCGCGTCCGACCGCCGTGACGGCGGCCCGGGTCTTGTTGCCCACGGTGCCAAAGCCGTAGCTGCCGTCCTCGTCGCTGTCGCTGTGCTGTTGCTGGCTCCGGCCGCAAGCGTACCGGGTCTTGCACGAAAACATGACGACGGTGATGGGTCTTCCGCGGACGTCGGTCGAGAACTGATTCCGGGTCCCGGGATGGGTGGCCGGTCGTCGGATCGCGACGACCGGGTGTCCCGGGCACCGGAGCAGCTGCTGCCGCGCGCTATACGGTCGGGTCCGCCAGGTGCAATCTCGAAGAGACCGCGCGCGCTTGTGCGTGTGTGCGCGCACAACACATGTCCCGCCCGTGTCTCTCCGCGGTAACACAATATAGGTACCCGGCCGACAGAGAGAAACCACGTCGAGATCCAGAGATCCAGCAGCAGCAGCAGCGATCCGGGGAGAGTGAGCGAGAGCGAGAACAGAAGACCGATGATCGGCGGCAGATGTTCTCGCAGCAGCAGCATAATAATAATAATAATAATATTCGAAATCCGATTCTCGCCCGAAACTCGTTTACGTCGTGTTGTTTATGTACCTACATACGCGTGTGTACCTCTATATAATAATACCTATGCTGTGTATATACAGTTTTTTAATATATATATATTACTACCATTATATAGTTTACGCGCGCCGGTACCTGTGGTTTTTTTTTCACCGAATTATCATCGTCTTCGTCGCAGTACCCCCGACATTATTCGCCCTCCTGGGCATGTTACACACACACTCGCGCGCGCACGGATTTCGATAAACAACAAATCTCGAAAAGTGTGTTTTTTTTTTTTATTATTATTTTTGCGATTCGGCGTCGCCATATGGCAGGCCAGACGGCGGCGGCGGACGTGTGGTGGTCGTCGGCTATAATATATTATTATTTTTTTACGTTTTCAAACGCTGAGGTACACGAGAATTAATAAGACTCGTGTACGCAGGCGCCATCGCCCGCCGCCGCCGCCGATGTTAAATGTCGGACACCGCAAACGCAATGATAACGCAGAGGACGACTGCCTGTTGCCACACACGATAAACCAGTTGACTTTTAACTCGCACACGCTATTGTGATTTGTGCGATTGTGTGCACATAATAATAATAATAAATAATATGTGAACAAACACAGCACGCGGCGGCGTATGATAAATGTTATCATTAATATTATTATTGCTGGTATAGAGCTGGTAAGCTGGTATGTGCTGGACTAGCGTGTCGACGATGACTTTCCGAGATATGGCGGTCGTATAAACGCAATCGTACGGTGCACAACAACAACAATAATTATTATACGACTATATTGTAATAATATTAGGTATAGCATAATGTTATGATATTGCTTGGCCCTCGGTGGGGCGTAAGGGAATGTCCCAGTCCATGTTGAGGTCGATATAAAAAACAATTATAAGCAAAGCGCGTGCGAAAACCGGAAAACAGCGGCGGTCCTCGATATAACTGCTACAGCAGCCGATAACCACTCTATTTACGCACACAATGTGACACCTATACAATATAATATCATTGTATAGGTATTATATAATATAATGGACACGGTCACGCGAATGAGATAAGAGGAAATATGTCAAGTTAGTTTTTCTAGACGACGCGTGTGCAATGGCCTTGGTTTTCCTAATTAAACTACTGTTCATATTGAAAAATGTAGAATATTATCAGTTATTATCAAAAAATTATATCAAACTAACATTGGCAACAAAAAAAAAATTAAAAAATTAAGAAACTTGGTAAGAGTAAAATAAAACCCAAAGTGTATAATTACAATTACAAATGGAAACATCAATGAACCGTGTAGGTAATCCGTATAGTATAGGTCTGATGATCTACCTTTATCGATATAGAGGAAACGTGAAAAATAATACTGTATTGAGTCTATTACTGGATATAGTAAAGCGGCGTCCAAGTATTCCATTTAATGATGCTTATTTTAAAACTGAAATACTTGATGGTTGTCTGTATGTTCATCTATCTCGAAGGCCAGCTTGGAGTTATGAGCGATTGTATCGAGAATATCGATACCCGATTCTGAGAGAATAATACGAGTATCCTAAAAAACGGCCCTTTTCGGTTAAAACGTAAAACCAACCAATCATAGACTGCCGAAATAGACGAAACCGAACAAAACACGATGATTCAAAGACGAAAAAAGGACACACGTCTTTCAAAAAATGTAATTACGGACATAGTATGGCCATTCGTAGTTACTATCACAGTATCACGGCTTAAATTGACCTACAACAACTAAAACGAGATCAGAAACAAATAAACAACGAACCTACTAGACAAATTCAAAGTCGTTACAGCAACTTAAGAATAAGAGATCTAGATTTTAGATATTATCAAGACTAGATAGCGAAGACACTGGGCACAATCGAAGATATTTCGATTGTGATATATTTGTATAATATGCACAAACGTAGAGTATGTGTTTTCAAATAGACTTTTCTAATAATGTAAATAAAACCGTCGATTCTGATTTGCATGTCACATCATTCAACAAATTTAAAACCATTCAACCAACAGAAATAGTAATAGGTACCCAAAAACGAGTGTGTATCGAAATTATAGCGATCAATTGAAAATAAAATCAGTTAAAATCACGGTTTTGGCGAATTATCGATCAATTTTCTAAAGTAAGAGATCTATAATAACCGTTAGAGGGTTGAGTATAATTTCAGCAAAACCAAAAGTTTTGATATCCATTCGACAACAAATCACTGGGCCTTGTTTTATTGTTGTCGATATGCTATCGATATACTATATTATATAATAAAAAAAGTATTAGAGTTGTATTAATTAATTTAAGATTAATGATTAATAATGATTAATGATGATGATATTTTAAAATTATTCGCTTCTAGAGACAACCGTGTACATTTATAAAATATATTGTGTTTTGTATGCAATTAATTAATTGTCTTAATAAACCGAATGTTTTTACAAAGTTAATTATAAAATATTAAATGTGCCTACTGAAGGATGAAAGAATATACTAATTGAATTTTTCATTGTTTACTTTTATGATTTTGTATTTTTTAATGACGAGTATAAAACGAAGGACCTTTTGGTATCGTTGGATTTTCCGAGACTGCTAAACTCTAGTTACGCTCATAAAGTGCAACTCCGCTTTCGGTTTATTTTATCGTTTTTTTGTTCACCGTATTTTTGTATAATTTCTACTAATTACCCTAATGTAAAAAAACACTGTAAGGTAATGCTGCTAAAGTTAAAAAGTTAAAAATAAACTAATTTGTATACAAATTGTTTAATATATAGTAAACTTATAATCATTAAACAACAATAGTAGTTCATTAGCACTAAGCAACATATTTATTAGTTTAGGTAGGTACTATACTAAAAGGTTAAGGCCAAAGAGATTTTAATAGGTTTTAAAACTCCGATTCTGCATAATTATTGTGCTCGTCGCAACGGACATTTGGAACGGATTCAATACGACAATTTCTATATCCTTTGAAACTCCTTAAGACACATTATCATCGTAAATTCCAGTAAATAGCACTTATATTATTAAAACCCACGACAGCTACCACGAGACTGATATTAAATTTCATCAAAAGTTCTACACTTATACAGTGTTTATATATTATAAAATTTAAAATAGTCTTAAACATGTTTCGTGGGACCTACACATCATATTAAGTACGTTTTAAATAATGCTCTCGTATGATTATTTATTTTTATTTCTAGAAACGCATAAACTTAATTGACATGTTTAATGTATATATATATATTTCTGGTACACATTATAAAATGACGACGATGATGGTTTTATGTCTCCGGTGGAATGCAAAATGCAGTATAGTCATTGACCATTGTCTCTACTCTATTCATTAGTATATATATTTTCTCCGACATTAAAATGCGTATCATAACTTTAGAAAATATGTCGTATATTTTTAAAAAGAAAAACACTTTTTCCGGGGCAGTAAAAGTGTGGTCTATATTTGTAATTCGCCATTGATATTTCCAACATGTAAAATTCCTACATAGAAGAAGTTTCGTAAAACAGCTGCAAAGAAAATAATGTAAGAGTGCGAGTACGTTCGTTTCTTAACGTTGATCTCGGCCATTTCTGTGTTTAAACTTTGTTTTTCGAATGTGCAGATAGGAAATAGGATTAGTCACTGCACCCTTCACGTTACAATTTTGAATAACACATCATACCACGCCACTATCCTTCGCAGAGTGCAGAGGCGAGCGAATCGAGTGGATATACATTTTTTATTACCCAAGTGCAATATTCCAACAAACATTATTATAATATAATAATCGTTAAAATCGAAACCAGTTATTGGGAAACCGTTACTTTCTACCCGCAATGTATAATATTATATAGATAATCAACAAATTCAATGTGCGGCAGTTAAACGGAGTTGAATTTTAATTGAATGTTTATAGAACACCACCACTAGAAAATTTGATCAACCTTACTTTAATGACATATTTATGAATCGCCAAGTGCGTATCGAGTGCTCGCTCGCAGTACATAACACACAATGTTGCGCCACTGCAGTTTCATTGTCGTGTTCATAATCAAAATGAAATAAAATTGCCGCAACCTCATAAGCCTGCTGGTTCCTGTCGGAGGGACGGACGACGTCTTAAACCATAAAACGTACGTCTTGTGGGCTGTATTTTGGGGTCTTTGTAAACGACGCAAACACGAATTTATGAAGACCAAGTTTGGTAATGTCACGCTGCGAACAATATTAGCTGGTGTATCATTGTGCAGCGGGTGATCTCGTAACCTCGGGATGTGCCACACATGTCTATATTATATTCAGCCAAAAAACGGACGACAATATATTTTTATTATTATGTCCGATAATGGGTAAAAGTTTAATGTACACTAGCAACGTTGTATGCAATATATTGTGTAGTTTGTCGATGTTTACAAGAACAGAACAGAATATTATCAACGTCGAAAAACGAAAAGCCCAGCCTTCATAATTCATATTATTATATATTATGTAGGTATATAATTTTGATACGTATACTTCCTCTGTACAATGTACATATAAATTATTACTAATAATTTGTTTTCATCTTTAATAGCTGCAGTGTATTTTGT